ATATTTAAATAGTAAATACCAATTTCAAAATCTTAAGATTTTTTTGCAAAGGAGTGTACTGTAGTGATACACTATACAAACTTCTATTTTTGAAATAAAAACCCCTTTTTACTGTAAATTATTTTTTGAGGTGAATTTTTTAAAAACACTGATGTTTCTAATTCAAAATTAAAACGAGTATTTGTTCAGTTATTAAAATGTTTCAAGGATGATAGTCTTTAAAAATTGTTTTAAAAAAACATAAAATAAATGTTAAGGCCATTGGATCTAATATTTATTATATTTTTACCATTTTTACAAACTGTTAATGTCGATCGATTAATATGATGTATAAATTACTACAATTTTAAAGTCACTAGAGGCCACATTCCAAACCCACCACCCTGGACCTATTAACCCTAGTATACAAAGTTATAAATAACTCAAAAAATATTCACTCGAATTTTGATTTTAATAATATGTCATCTCAAAAATAATTTACGGAAAAAAAGAACCATGGGTTCTTCTTTGGAAAACAGTTTGGATCTTCACATGACACCGATTATAAGTAGTACAAAAAATATAAATTATTTAAAAATATGGACTTTAATGCTGGGTTTCATGAAAAATTGATTAGTCAAATGGTTCAATAAAATTTAATGGACCATTAATTTCACGGTCTACTAAATCAGGCTTAAAGAACCATTAGTTCCCTATTGATTCGTTAAATGTTTAGTGATAGATAATGAAATCTAGTAATGCCTATGTTTAAAAATTTAAAAAAAAAAATTGATTTTGAATTCATTATTAAATGAAAATATGGTGGCACGCATGATTGATGAATCACTCTGTATAAAAATGTTAAAATAAAATATAAAATTAGTGTTCTTTTATAGGTAATATTGTATTGTGCAAATCCATAATAATTCTGCTGAAAAAGATTTTATAATATGCTTTTACTGTTTTAAATTAATTCCTATTTATAATTAGTTAAAATAACATAATGAATTGGAATATATTATGTTATCCTGTATTTTTTTAATATTCGTACCTAGTCTAAAATATTAAAAACTTACCTCCATTCTTATCCACCCATTCTAAGAGATCGGAAACTTTTTGATATAAAATTGACATCTGAAATTAAAGAAATATAATGTAATAAATACTATGGTGCAATCAGATTTTCAATGACAAATCCTATTCCATTATTTGAAAAAAAAAAACTAAAAAGATATATCTTTTACTCTATTTTTCGTTTTCCTATTTTGTTGAGAAAGGTTATATGGATAAACAATATTAACCACATTGTCCACATTAACTATTGTTTTATCAACTATTAAGTATTAGGACAACAACATTTATTAAAGTGTTGTCATTTAACATATTGCTATTAATTACTAATTAGTCTGTAAGCAGTTTTTAACATTTAAAATTTGAATGTAGTAAATTTCAACATGATAAATTACCAGGAAATATCCAATGAAATGTACATTCACTATATAGGTAAACGTTATAATTAATAGTTAAATTTAAAAGTTAAATTTCGTGAATTTCAACTGGTACTAATTCTTAAATTTACAAACTTGTAAGTGTAAATTTACCATATGTGCAAATTTACGTTTATGAATTTGTAAATTTAAGTATTAGTAACAGTTGAAATTCACTCAACTTTTAAATAATTGTACATTTAACTATTAACCTGTAACCAATATAAAATTACAAGTTACATATTTTGGTAAACTTCAACCCATATTAATAGTTAAATTTACAAATCATAAAGATAAGTAAATTTCAACTATGAATACTGATAATTGTACACATCAAATAGGTTAGTAAATTTCAACTTCACTATGATTTTAGATTTACAAGTAGTATGTTGTAAATTTAAACACATGGCGTTATTAATTTGTGTTGCCACACATTTTGTGTAAATTTACACAAACATTTTTTTACAGTGTGGCGTAGCCAGGAGGGTTTTGGGTTATTGAACACTTTTAGTTATTTTTTTGTAATTTAAAAAAAATATAACTATAATAATATAGGCTGATAGACTGCCTTCGATCAAAATCGTTATGGTTTTATATCATTGAACTCAAATTTAAAACATTCATTATAGTGACCCCTCTAGACACCTACTGTACAGCTGAACGGTACCCACTTGTCCACCTTTTTTAATTATGTTAATGTAATCATAAGCAGTTCAGCAACAGACAAATTGAATATACATTTTTTTCAGGCCAACTCCCCCCCCCCCCACATTTTGATATCACTGCTAACTTAATTATAAGTTAATGTTAATTTTAACGGTGAAAACAATGGTATATTTTGATCTTTTAGAAAAGTATTAGTTTTTAAAATTAAAACAAACATTTATAGAGATAATATTTTTGCAGTATGAATTCCATTTAAATAATTTATTTTGTAGTTTAACCATATAACCACCGGACGGCTCTTTATCTGGTGATTAAATTGGACACCTAATTATTTTCGTATACACGAAAAAATGTCTGTCTTAACTTTTATTTACGTGCGTCGATTGGAGTGCGAGCTTCTTCTGACTAAACAGTAAACATGTCTTACACTTAATAATGATACCTACTAAACATTTATACTCTTAATAAACAATATTTTAATTCGGTTATAAGATAAAGTTTAATAGGGTTGTAGTGGTCTGGCAAGCCAATCCATATCAGCTTAAAGAAGTAATGTAAATCTACACTTTTAACTAAAAAAAAAAATATAAATATAGACATGACTCCAAAAGAGTGGGTTTTTTCACCTTTAAGGCAAGACTATACTCTATTCCAAATAAGTCTAGAAAAAATCGCACATGCAGGTCCGCTGTGATTGACTCCAGTTTCGGTTACTCGTCGTGATTAGGCCGCTGGCAGATCACGTGACACACTTGCGCGAAACCGGACGTGTTTTCGTCGTACATTTTTCCAGACTTATTTGGAATAGTGTAGATACTCGAAATCATTATTAAGCCTTTACGTGATAAGACACGTAAAAACTAAAAATTTAAGTATAATATTCAATCTATAACAAAAATAATAAGATTTATTGTGGTTTAGTTAATTATTATCAATGACCATTAACAACTAAATGTACCATATAGGTAGGCTTATCGACAGTAATATCAAATTTAATGGTTATATAATCATTTTGTTGTTTTGCTGGGAATGGTATTTGAAAGAAATGCATATAAATATTGTACAAGCATAATATAGGTAGGTAGGTAATATAATAATATATAAAAGAGAACGTTTCAATTACTTATAATACAATTTTAAATCAAGATTAATATCTATATTCAATATGGTAATTGTCTTGCAACCAATATTTATCGTATTTTGAAAGGCTTGTATTATAAAATTGTGCATCATATTTGAATAGGTTGCATCTTGCATACGCTTACAACGTAAATTGTTGAGCATATCCTCATTCCCTGGTTTAATTTGTATGGTTCAGTGAATTTTAACTTTTAATCAGGTACTATCATAGATCGAGACAACAGTATTATGAAGTATGGTAATTCGTTGCAGCAGAAGACATATTATTTTCAAATAATTTAATAAATTAAGTTAGTAATTATTTTTGTATCTGCTCAAATCATATAAAGCATAATGTAAAATAATTGTAATATTGAAATAATCTATAATAATAATAATAACTAACGATGCTTACCTTTTACTGTTGTGTATTTGTTTTTTGAAGTGCAAGAATATTAGATTTCAATAGGAAAGTATATTTAATAGTAGGTTATACGGAATAATATAACAATTAGAAACGTAATGAGACTTTTTTACAGCACATAACCTAACCACGGTGCCACATGGTCTGATGAATTTAAGTTAACTAACGAACATTATGTTTCGTAAGACAAAATGAAGACCATGTAGCTCCAAACATTTTGTAGGCTATGATATTGGTTTAATTTGAATATGTAACAGAGGTCACGCAGGAAATAATGACATTAGAAATATGGTCAAGCGATTGACGGATTTATGAGGTAGGTATAGGCCTTTTAAAGTTTGTAATGTAATGATTTGGTGTCAATGAACTACATTCAAAATTAACCAGAAAAAACAACTTAAAATTGAATTTAAATAAAACAATGTTTGAAATCTTGTATTTGTATTTGAACTCTGCTGTGTTATAACGTGAGTGACAAGTCAACCATTCAAAGTCAAACCATTTATGCAGAATGATGATAATATTATTAGCTTTTAATACGATTTTAAGTGTTCAATTTAGTTCCTGGTATAAAGTATACTATAGGTCTAATAGGTATTGTAGTATGCTTTAAACAAATTCTTCTCGATTTCGGTATTTTAAATAACCAGATGGTGGGGAGTGGGGAGGTTGTAAAAACATGAAAACTGCAATACATAAAACATTATTGTAAAACGCATTCATTCTATGCTTCGCTCATAGGTAATATAAAATTGGTTTTAAATGTTTTCATTGTTTTATATAGGTACAGACTATATTGTATTTGTAAAACTTTATTATAATATAATATGAATGATGAATAGATTATCGGTACGATAATAATTGTTCTTCTAATTATTAATATTGTTTTTTTTCGGATTAACAGAATCATAATTTTTTTTTTTTACAGACTTTGATTTTTAACAACCTATGTTTATAATGGGCACACCAGAAACTATTTGCTTAAAAGTTAAAGATTATAAACTAACAATATATTATAATAGTCAAATAACGAATGCTGGAAAAATTTGCTTATTAAAATATAATATTTTGAATTCGTTATCTATGAAAGTAACAATTTACAAAAATTAATTATTAGGGTAATTAAAATGGTTGTACCTATAGTTTCTTGAACCTTATGTCTGGTGACGTAGATATTGTTTTCATTATTATATTGACTATTTATTTTAACAGTGATTGGCTTGTTCTACCTGATGAATCATTCACTTATAAAAAGTCTGAAAGTTTAAATAATTATTATACTTATTATTTAAACATAGGGGTTCAAAATGTTATAAAAGTCACAATTAAAATGTACCACCGTCTAGATTTATTTAGATTCGTGATAGTGTATGTATGGTAAAAAATACAGCTTTTAAACAGTTTAAATTATACAATATACATAACATAAAAATTAAATTACACTTAAATTTGTCTTTCCTATAATATACTATGCACTCTCAATACCTGTAAAACGGGTAATTAATCTAATGATACACAATTATCAGTAGTTATAATGAGGCCGTTATTTACAATAATTTTCAAATCGTTGGTAATTAATGATTTTTTTCATAAATTGTATTATCTTTTTTAACTACCTATCTTTAACTAACGCAGATACAATCAAGTATTCAAAAAGACCAGTGGGAACAATTTCCAAATAAGGTGGTTATTATGATTTTCATGCATACAATATTATTACTTACAAAATTTGTTTTGAATAAAAAAACCACTCCCATATAATATCTTTAATTATTTTAAATTTAATTTACTGCAATATTTACATAAAAGACAAAATAAATATAACAATATTTAAAAACACCATTTTTCTTAAAATGATTAATCATTTAAACCTAATAGCTAATTAAAATAGTTAAAAGTTCTTTTTTCGTATTTCAACTAAATTAAAACATTGAATAATTTGAACAATAACACAAGACGTAAGATAATACAAATATATCGATAGTCCTAATGTGTGTATTTAAATTTGTATTTTGATTATATATAGGTATAATACTATCCATCACTCGGAAATTTCTTTACCTTAGTATCTCAAAAATTTAACACACCTTTCCTCTAGAAATGCATGGTAGGTACTTGGTAGATATAAGTACTTATATAGTAGATACCTATTTTAGTAGCATGCTAGCTATTTTAAAGAAATTATTCAAAAATCAAATTCTTAAATACTAAACACAGGCATTCAAATTTAATATATTATGTTTTATGTGCTTCTCCTACTATTTATCAAAACTATTTATACTATAAAATATGTTTATTAGATTGAATACTTGTTGAAAAATAAAATCAGTTTTTTATGAGCCTTCCTAAATAATATAAGCAATACAAAAATTGGTACGGAATATATAAAAAATATTTTAATTTTATAATCTTCAGCAAATTCATCATTGTTTAATCTTCTTTGGTTTAATGTATGCTTTTTTATAAAAGTCCCAGAATAAAATGAACATAAATATATCTTGTGGAATTGCTAATAACATTATGATTCTTGGGAAATTGCAGTCAGGCTCAAATAGCGTAATAAATGCATGTAGTCCAGTAATGACGAATTGCACCTAGAAATAATAAAAAATATATCTTATTTTTAAGTCTAAATTAATATCATTTAAAGATAATTAAAATTAATTTGATGCATATAATAATAAAAATTTCAAACCATTGACACAAGTGCTTAAGTGTTCACACACACATGATACATATAGGATTTCCCTTTAGCATAAGAGAACCAAATAAAGAAATTAATTATTAAAAAATACAAATAATATATTAAATATCCCACTACATTAAATTTATTTATTTTTAATAAAATAAAAAACATATTTATCCTTAGTCTTATACATTAATTATTTTTAAAAAATCATTGAATTTTCGGTTCAGCATTGTTTTAATAACCTCATCAATATATTGAAAAACTATATAAATTAATAAAATACACAATATAGTAGGCATATTATTATAATTGATTCCTATTAGGAGTCACTAAAAGTTGGAAAATCGTTGGTTTAGAACCAACTGTTGAAAAATACTTTATCGGCAAAGTATCATATTTGAAAATGCCATTTTATTGAATCATATTTTTTTGGAACTGTAATCTGTTTGATATATTTTTGTCGTAAACGAATTCGTTCGGAAAGTATTTATATGGAAAATATTGTACTGGAGGCATATGTGTATATTTATTTTTTGGCCACAGACATTAGTCCAATAATAAGTACAAGTGCAATAATAAGATGATAAAAATTGTAAAATAACTTAATAGCTAAAATTAAATCGTATTTACAATGAAAAATGAATAATCAATATAAATAAAATTCTAATAACTTTTACAATAGATTTATCAAAGACACATATTGTTGGTGGAATTATAATAATATACTAAATACTATTTTGTTAAATGTTGAAATCGTATTTTCTTAGATAGGTAAATATTTTGTTGGAAATGTATGTATATTGTTGGAGTTACGTTAGTACGTTACGGTGTACTAATCCAAATAAATACATATCCAACAAGACACGTTTCTGAATTTAAATTACCTAGAACCTAGGTAATTCGGAAATCCTAGGAAATAGATTTCAATGAAATACGATTACAAAATATTATTTTCTTACGGTTTAATTTCCAAACACATACGTTCACGATTAAATACGCATTTAAAATGAAATACGTTCCAACCAATTATTTTCCAACAAAAATATAAAATATAGCCCTCAGTGATAAATTAACTTAAAAGTTAACGAAAAAGGAAATTATTTATATTTATCCCATAAAATAAATCCAAACCAATACATTACCAGTTGTAAAGTCGTTAAATATTTTTTCCACCACGCTTTTTTGTATTCTGGGTTTATTATAGTCAAAAAGTAGTAGCTATACATTATAACATGCACAATTCCATTAATGGTGCCAAAGAATGCGACTTGTCCTCCTAAAATCGATTTAACATTATGCATTAAAATTTCTGACAAAAAATTATTATGAGTGGTGTACGCAGGAATTTGGTATTTGGAATAGGATGTTATAAAATAATTCATAAAATATAATGTAATAATTATTATACTCCATTTAACCTTGACTACTCAGTTGTAATTTTTATTTACGTTTTCAAACGTTTAACTATTTAAGTGTAGAAAAACTAGGTCCAGTTCAAGGAATAAAAAAAAGAAAAGGCTCATAAAGGGATATTCACTATCGCACCCCCCCCCCCCCGCGCCTCCCAACAAGCGTACACCACTAATTATTGTAGTTTTAATGTCTATAAAATTATACCTGGATAAAAATTTGTTAAGGACCAGCCAAATGTTATAACCAAAGTATGATGGTAAACATGTAAAAATGTTACTTGACTTTGTTTTTTTCTTAGTATAAAAAAGACCTAAAATTGTTTTTAATGCAAAGTGTTCAATACATAATTTATTAGTTGTACGTAAAACAACATGTAATTTATTAAATTTAAATAAAATTACTGTGTCTAGGAGGTCCAGAAATCTACTCGCAAGGAACAGCCAAACAGTATACACTTGCTAAAAAATAAAACATTTTATTTTCTTAACAATTTAATTATTTTTTTCTTGGAGTAAAATGAGCATGTAAGAAATTCAAAATTACTTGTCTTGCTATATCAGGATCCTCTTTACTAGTTTCAAAGCAATAGAATCGGTAATCGTCTCGCAGCCACACCAGTCTAAATGCCTATCGACGAGAATAACATAACATATTATACATTATTTACTCATACATATTATGATATAAGATATAACTTTGTAACATTAACTAATTATATTTAATACAAAATACTATACTACTATGGGTACAGTGTTGATTTTTAATTAGAAGTTAGAACGTGCATAACAGTTGTTATTGGGTTTATTGAATAACCTACCTGATTTATATTAAATCGTATTAATATTGAATTTTAATTTTCAATACATATTTTAAAATAATTACTGATAACAACATTCATAGTGTAACAACCCGATATCTTCGACTTGTTTTTGGTTTTGTAAGCATAGACATTTTATTTTGAAAATTTGAGTGTTGGTATTAATTATAAAACACCAAAATTAGATACTTCAAATATATATTTTTTATTTTTCACTGTTTTTAGAATTTTTTTAAAACAGTTTTTGACTCTCCTGAACATTTTCATCATATGGAGATATCTGGTTGTTGCATCCACACCCTAAATTTCTATATACTATTTATCAGCTTATCTATATAATATAATACATACCTATATAAATATATATATCAAATAATTTTTAAAAACCTTAAAAATTGTTATTGAAAGATTTAAAAAAAAATACGTTAAAATAATTTTACATATAATAATTACATAATAATATACAATTATTATTATTCTATCTTAATATTTACACTTTACATGCAGAATATTATAATATATAGTTATTAATTATTATAATATGTAAGCTAATTTGAATACCCACGACGTTTCTGCTAAGAAAATAGTATATGTTAAAACTTTACTGTATTTATTTTTAGATTATTCTTAGAATGTGATATAACTAATGACGTAATTAAATTAATAGGTACACTAAACACCCCTCCTCTACGTTGAATTTTTATCGTACAAATAAAATAAAATAATTAATTAAATACATTTATATTCTAAACAAATAAGTTTTTATTGCATTTATTTTGACCCACTCTTACCTCTTTCACCAAGTACGTAGAAAATAAAACTTGTACTGCATTATAAATCATAACAATGCGGTCAATGTTGTAAGGATTACGGAACTTCATGAATTCCGGACCACCTTTAAGAACAAAGTACAGATATGAAATCACTACAATTGTAATTGGCCATACTGATCCCATAAACCAAAGATCTTTAACAAGAGGATCTGAAAGAAAATAAACAATTTTTTGAGATAATAATACGAAAAAATACATTTTATAGTATAGGTATAGTTCTATAGTATATGTATACTACTATACCATAAGCTATTTAGTTTTATACATAAAACGTTGGTATTCATATAGATTTAAAAATGTTATGTTCACTAAGTAATTTTAAGGTGTTGATTAATAATGTCTTGTATGAATGTATGATGTTTGTTACCCAATTATGCTTATAAGTTAAAGATACCTGTAAAATAAGGAAGTTTATTCATTTTAATAATGTATAGGTATATTTTAGATTTTGAGCGGTGCAACGAATGTATTGGTTCTATGATATATGTTTGTTATTGTGTTTTTATATATGATTACCATCATAATTTGAAACAGCAAAAATAATTCAGTATCTAAATTCAAGCTTTGAGTCTAGGGGGGGGGGGGTCATGGGTTATTCATTTTCGAGCCGATTGATTGATCTGTGGGCCGCTTTGGGGCAAGTTATAATCTTTAAGGATCATATTTAGCGGCCGACTGACCGGGGAAGTTTATTTTATAAGTAACAGTAGTTAAATGGATCTGAACATTTTTTCGTTAAATTCTTAGTTAATATTTTATACAATTAGACATATAGCTTACAACAAATAGCTAGGTACTTAGTCTAAGTTTTGAACTATATTATTATATCCACTGTTGTCATGCACATACTCAAAGAATAGAAAGTCTGTAGATTACTCTGAGGAGGCTTAACATTGTAAAAATATGTATGGTATAAGTATATAACTCCTGATATGTTTCAAAGTAAAACATAATATAATAATATAGAATCTTATATATTTATAAATATAATAGACAGCTGTTATATATATATATCTTATTGAAATGTAGTGGAAAGAAATCAATAAAAGGGACACATTTAAACACCTTTTTAAGGGGTATAACACACATATTTTAATTTTTTTTTCATAATTATTAGTTATATTTTAAAAGAACAAGTGGCACCAGTGTTGGGATAATGGGATTAGATAAGCACTTTTTTTATCTAGATAAAGATAAAGATAATAATATAATATGATGAAAATTTATCTAGATAAAGGTAAAATATAACTAAATTCAAATATACCTAGATAAAGATTAAAGATAAATACATTTTTATCTAGATAAAAAATAGATAATTTTTTTTAACACCTAATTTAAAGTCTAACTTATTTGAGAATACACCTTTGGACTTAGGCACTACTTAGTACTTCAATATTATATAAAACCGGCTATACGTTTAAATTAATGTTAGCAGTAGACATTATTATTAATCAATACCTAAGGCATAACTGAAAAAAACATTTTCAAAATGAAGTATAATGTATAAATATCAAGAAAAAACTAATTTACAAGACTCGTCACAGTAAATTTCAATTATTATGAACAGTTTTAGTAGGTATGTATTTACATTTTTTTTAGTAGATATGAAGTTATTGTTATCACTTATTAGGTAAAATACATCTAATATAATTTATACTGTGTACGTTGCATAAGTATATACTATGCAATAAATAAAAGAACAATTTATTTGATTTCATGACAATATAATTTATACACAAGTTTATTCATTAATATAATGATACAACAAAGATTAAATTTAATTCAATACGCATCGGAACTAGGAAAACACAGTTAAATAGGCGGTATATAGCTCTGACTAAGTAGCTTACTGTTCGTAAAAATAACTTATAATCATTTTTCCATTAATTTACTGTTAACAAGTACCTAACCAACACAACATAACAATGAAATGTAGCTATATTTGAACACCGGGCCTCTAACGAAAAGATCAATAATAAATAATGATACCTAATAAATAATATTATTAGTAACATACAATTTTTTTATTGAGATCTTTTGGCGATTCAAATTTAAAGTATTATTTATCAAAAAAATTAATTGACAATAAAAATGAGTATTTCATTTTTGCATAAAGACGAATTTATCTAGATGGATGAATTTTTTATCTAAGATAATTATTTAGATAAAATTCAACTATTTATCTAGATAAGATAAAAGATAACTAAATAATTATCTAGATAATTTGTCTGAATAAGTCTCAACACTGACTGAACAATATTTAAAAATGTACATTTGCAAGTGATAAAAAACGAGACTACGACGACAGTGAGCCATTGATAATATAATATTTTTTAATAATACACTAAAAATACTAAACTTCAAGTATTATTTGATTCTTCATTAAAAACATTTTTATATCATAAACTTCGAATATAATATCATTTAAATATATTACTATGCCTATAGTTGCACAATGGTAGAGCGCATACTGCAGTTGCAATATTACCTTTAGGCGGTAGAGTGCATACGACAAAATAGTCATTTCTGTAACACTATTGTTACTGCAACATGCATTTTCGTAAGCAGAAAGAAAATATTTTAGAAGGTGGTATGGGTATTAAATAATTTATGAAAAATCTCATTGTTATCAACTATTTATGTTAGGTGATTGACAGTATTGGTAAGAGAGTGAACTAATTGTTAGGTACTATAACCACTCAAGATAGGTATTGACTAGGTAGTACATTTTATAAGGAAACCTAAGTTGTTAATTTAATTATCTGGAGAAAACTGATTTCATAAAAATATAAAAGTATAAAATACTGAATGAATAAGAATTTTTACTAGGCATTTAAAGTTATGAAAAAAGAAGAGAAGTGGAAACAGTTGTCGCTCGAAATTTTTTGCTGCACTACATCATACATCAAAACACTAAGTGCTTATTATAAATAATTATTATTTTTGAAATGTTGAGTGTTCGTTGCTGAAAAAAATCACTCTTCACTTCTGATGAATTTTTTTATATACAATTATTTAAACCAGATATTTACCAGTATTTTGTGATACCCATTCTGTGGCTTGCTGAATACTGTTCAATAACACAGACATCTGTATTAACAAATAAATATAAATATATTTAAATAAATAGATAGTAATTAAACATGTAGAATTTTAATATCAATACAATATGTTATATATTCATATTGTGTACATTTTGTATTCACATTGGTTGTTGTAGTATTCAAACAGAATATAATAAGTTTTGTTTTTAACATATTTGTTTGATCCAAAAATATATATCTAAAACCTAATAGCTAGCAAAATAACAAGTACCTATGTTTGGTTTAAAGAAAAGTAATAAAATAAATCTCAGTTTCACAGAATCTAAAAAATATGCGTATTCATAATCTAATAAACATTTGTATTCGCCATAAGTAACAACTATATAAACCAAAAATGTAATACAATAGTCAATAATACAAAATGGTATTATAAATATATAAAAAGTTATAATAAGGGCTGAGATTTCAGTGTAATTTGTATTTGTATTGTTTACCGGGTAATCGTAGGTTAGGTTAGGTTATGACATATACATTGTATATAAGCCAACAGTAAGAGCCAACTAAATAAAAATGGGGTTTTATAAGTCATTTTCGTAGTTTTTCTTATTGCATCAAATTCCCAGCCCTAATTATAATATATACTTCATAAAGCTATACTAATCCGATATCATGGGTTCACTATTATTATGAATATTCCCTATGTAACTTGTTATAAAATCCTTATAAAATTAAAATATTGTATTGAATTGTTGACTGCTCAATTTATTAAACTGTTTCAAGTTGCGAGTTACTAAATAACTAAGACATATTGAAAAATAATATTATCAACCACAATAATATTGTTCATATTATATGAGTCTAATATGAAAATCAGCTGTTATATACCTATATATACCATGTGTGAATGGGAAAAGGGAAAAAATAAAGAACCCGGTATGGACAACCTACCCCATCTTACTGTGACTTAATCGTCGGTTGAGACATGATTGAGCATAAAACACCTTTTTTTGCGACACGATTGAGCAAAATGTCGGCGTATCACAAGAAATCGAAATACAAAACAAAACCTACACGATTGAGAAAACTCTGCAAGTATAAATATATATATTTCATTGATTTTTAAGGCTTATAAACATTAATTTATATCGGCTTACTTTTAATTAAAAATAAAATATACTAGTTAAATCTTAAATCTAGTAACAATAATTACAGTTCTAATAATTTTTTATATTAAGCTTAGATACCAATATTATATTGTAAATTATTGTTTCAAATAGGTTTATGGTTATACTTATTTATGAGCTATATAGTATATAGGCTATAATATAATACATCATATTTTACAAAAGGTCTAGAAATGTAAATATAAGTATCCGTTAGGCTCTCTGGTTTGCACGATAAATAATAAATAATTGGTTCTCTAAAAGTATGATTTTTATATTAATAACTATGGTTTGAAATAACATACCTTTATTAATGGTACTAAGTTTTATTTATCATTAAATAATTGTGGTTTGCTCCAATATTTTGAATGATCTGATTAAACTAATATTTGAATTTGAATGAATACAAAGTAGGTAGATATGGTTGCACTACAATAAATAAACACAATCTACCAACTAGAATTGACAATGTTGAAAATACAATTTAAAATGAATTAACTATAAAGAGTTGGTTAAAGAGCAGTCCGAGCTCTGTAGATCAACTGACCAAGGACGATTTTTTTTATTGCTTTTGACCCTAAAAGAGTATGATTTAAAAGTGAGTAGGTATTAATTATTTAATCGAATAATTAATTATAATTTTTATAATTATTCCGAGTTAACAAACAACAACAATACACTGAAAATTATATCCCAATCAAGCCCCAAAAGATTATCATAAAATGCATGGTACGTTGATTCTATGATCCAAATGATTTTGTAAAATAAATTAACATTTTATTATTCAAGTTCTATATTATGTCCATAATTATGCCTAACCTACTAATACCCATGTTTATGTATAAGTTATATAAGTATAAATCGTATACTATGTAACTACCTATAGGTATATGTCCTAATAACTCAAAGTCCAGTGGTGTTATAATATATTATGTTCAAATGCATTCGCATTGCTATAATGTCTAATTAAAAATGGCAAATAAGAATAGGAAATCTTTTAAATTTACATACCTAATGTGTAACTATATTAAAGAAGGGGGAAACTAGGGTAACCACTCTACAATACAGTAGAAGTCGAGTGTACTTCGTCATTGAGAAGGTCACTGTAATGGATGTCCTAACTTTATAAAACAATTTGTAAATTTTCGTGATTTTGTCAAATTTTGAACTTTAAATGCATATTAAAAAACATCGTGCCCATCATATATTTAATATTTTTATTGAATATAATAATATCTTATAAAATCATACAAAAAAACTTTGCGATACATTTTCAAACTTTTTCACAGAGTGAACACTTTCTTATCAACATTAATAGAAAGAAAAAAAAACTAAAAAAGTAAAAAATGTATAATATCAATAAATAGCTTAAATTGGAGCCAAATTTGTAACCAAAAAATCGAAATATTTCCATATTTGCCTTTAAATACTACCTATTTATATTTGTTCTATTTGGTATACTGTTTTTAATCTTTTAATTTTTTTTATTTGAAATAAACAATCTAGACAGGTAAGTTACAAATTACAATAAGCTTGTGTGGTAAGATACTTAGCATGATTAATTTATATTATATATTAGTTATTATTTATTATTATTATTATTTTTTTAATATTGTTGAGTGGTTGAAATTGTATGTCTATAATGGTTATATATTTTAGATTGGTAATTGCAGAAGGTCACGACACTATTTCCTTTTTAGCCTGCGTCTTGGTTTTCCTGGGAGTGTTAGAGAAGAACTGCTCTCCCAGCACAAGCTTTGCTTACCGCGAGTAGGTACTTCAATAGTGTACCTGTACATAAAGGAAATGTTGATGGGCTGGCCGCTGGCGTTATATTAAACTTATTATTATAACTTATTATAAGCATCGTAACTCGTAACACTATAACTAACTAACCTAACCTGACGCCCAGGGCCAAAAATAACAGAAGAATAAGAAGAAAACATTTAAATTTATTATACTAATTTAGCTTGTTAAATGTAAAATTACCTATATAGTTAACTAAAAGTAAATTCTTAGTTAGACCATTTAACGACGCCGTAGCTGCCTAAGGGATGCCGCAAGCGATCAAACACAGCCGATACCCCCAAAAAAAACTAAATACATTTTGTCGAAAACTACTTTTGTCTAAAAATCCCAGTTTTCCTTAATTGTTTGTTTGTTTTTCCTAACGCTTTTGAAAACTGTGAATTTTCAAGTTTGACCTCTCAAAAATACCAATTAGATTCACTAGAAAAAATTAAAGCGTTGTTTCTACTAGACAAAAATGTTTAGAAAAAAAAAGACACACACACATTATTGTAAAAATCAACACACGTATTGTTCCTCTCAAAATTTAAAATACCTATGGGAAATAGGGCACCTACTACCTACCGCTCTCTGCTATACAGTATAGCTGTCTAGTGGGTCACTGTAATAGATACCGGATGTGTTCAATTTGAATTTAATGATAAATCATACGAATAAGCAAAGATGTTGTGCCAATTAATATTGAAATACTACGATAATACAGGACACTGGCGAACTATTTCTCATTTTCTTATCAAAATATCTATACAATAGTAAGTTAGCCCTCCCCCTCGATATTGTTATAATAGTTGCCTATTTTACTCCTTACGATTAACATGCACATTAAGCAAATTATAGGCAAATTATATACAATCTCGGAGGGCAATAATTGGACAATGTTAAAATTTGATCGCCACTAAAATATTTTAGTACATAGTGTAGGACTGTAGGACTGTTGTACATAGTATTTTAATATTTTATACTACTAAGTATATTTTATGATGTTATGTCTATTGTAGCAATTTATTTTACTAATGGCAAATACATTAATACAGTAGGTTAAATCGGTGCCGTCATTTGGTACTATGGGCTGTGAATTGTGAAATCAGGATAGTTTTAGGCTGCAGCCCGCTATCACGATCCATGTCATTGCTAATGCTAAATAAAATTTAATCGTCATTCGTGGCTCGTACTAATATGTTAATAATTATCTGTATACCTATTATTATTCCCGGCATAGGCGGAGATCTTGTGAAATATTGAGGAGGGCTCAAATATTTAATGACAAACAGACCCATATGCCGGGTTGTATGAAAAAATTATTAATTTAACGGCCCAAATAAAATTTAATGGACCAATCTTGGGCCACTAAATGTTTAAGGGATCATTAGCTCACTATTGATTCGTTAAATGTTAAGTGATTATTCCTACAACCAGGAAAAAAATGTATGTATGTTAGTTACTTAGATAATGGAAAAATCATACTATCAACAACCCTAGCCTATGATGTGTTGTGTGTTATCATGGTGAGTATTTAATACATTGGTCGTCCATGTTTATTGTTTGTTGTTTGCATTACCTAGCTATAGTTTGACGTTTTATTTTAAATTTGTATACATTAGAAGGTCATTTGTATTGAGATGTAATTGTAATATCATTGATAGAGAGCAGTTTTTTTATGGGTCAAAATGTGTGCCCCCCTCACAAAAGCTTAAATGACGCCACGGGTTTAAATCAACTTTTACCAAAAACATTTCATTTTAGAATGACTCTGTATAAAATATAATAATTTACTTCAAAGGCCACAAATAGTTTTAAATTATAACAAAATAACTAAAATTGTTATTCTTTGTTTAAACATCTTATTTTGTCCAAACTTGAACTTAAAATTTCTGTAAAATCTGTGCTTATATATTCTTTGGTTATAGTAACATACTGACATAACAGTAGCATAACTAACAATAAACCGTGTTTTAAATTTTCACTGGTCTACAACGTACATGAGATTAATATTTTCTTATTTTGAATAATTAATATTAATTTTGATATTTTAAAATTTAAGGGGTAGAGGAATATTTGGTTCTAACAAGATTGGCCTAAACTAAAATTCCAGAATGTAATGAAATACTTTTATTTTAAAAAAAATAGTGGCAATTGGTTATGGTAATGATATATTGGAAAAGTGGATCATATGAGTTTAAATTAATTTTTACAAATTGCATAGTCAAACCAATTGATACAGTTTGAAAAAAACATATGTTTTGCCTGTTTTTGGTATAAAATAACGCTAATATATAAATAAATTCTTAAATACAATTTTCACAAATAAGTTTAAACAGCATAAATAACAATAAAATAATACAATGATAATAATAATAAAGACTATCAGCTTATTAACATTTAATTAAAAATATAATACCTATAAGTAATGTAAATAGTATTAATTACTTTCATTTAATAAACACAATAAATACAGTAATAGAGTTATTAAAATTAATAAAAAGAGTAGTAGGTGTAATTAACAATAGCATGTAGCTATTTAATCAGTTGGTATGTTATTTAGTACAGTAATATTTTCAAATTCATCCAATAATTCTTTGATAGGCTCATTAATAATTTCCGAATCAATGTATGTTAGGTTCTGCAAAAAAGAAATATAAATTATTAAAGTAAATAATTAAATTGCAGTCACAATATTCCTCTAGTTAAATAATAAATACTCTTTATAATCAATTGAACATAGGTATATAATACTTGTTATGTCCAGGCCGTTTAAAATATACAACTAAAAATAATACATGATCATGAATGATTGGGACATATGTAGTGAAATAAAAGCCACGACTCACAAGAAAAATGATAGAGAATAAAATTAGACTATCGATAAAAATTGGAAAAATAAATATTTAGAATTAAAGAGAGATAAAAATTGTTATTACATACATATACATTGCATTTATTTTTTAATTATTTTGACATTTATTTATTATACTATTATATGTTATTAAAGAAATCTATTAATTTTTCACGTTATAAATTGTTGGCCTTAATTTGGTCTATAGTGTTATCTAACTTACAGATAGCATTGAAATAATAAAGTAAAAAATATCTTATTGAGGTTATTATTAGTTTGATTACGAGTATATCAAATAGGTTATTTATAAGTACATAATATTTATGTAATCGTATTTAAAGAAATTTTAATTATAGAGGTTTTGGTAAAAAAATTTGAATTGTTGAGTATTTCCCACTGACAGACATTTCGAATTGTCAAAGGGACCGAAACACATGTATTTTTTTTTAATAATAGAGAGGACTAAGCGCTTATTTTGATTTTTGAAGGCACCTACGAATTATCGAGTAACGACTGTACTGGTAAAAGTATATAAACCAAATTATTTATAATAATTAGTAATTACTATACATTAAATATAATTAATACCGCACTGGTTATTATTGAGGCACATCCTCTCATTTGATAATTACTTAATTGATTTTTAATTTCATTCATAAACATGAAAATTACAAATGAACTGTGTTTTCTTGGGTAGCATGTCAAAATAGTGACGACAAAACAGATAAGTGTAGAATAACTAAAAGGCATAATAGCAAATGTTCAAAACTGCCAAAATACATTATTTTTAAATTACTCCTTTTTTATTATTTAAGGTAACTGTAATAACTAATAAGTTATAGAGACTTGAAGCGATTTTGTGGAGCACTTCAACTTTTTAGGCCTATCGCTTAAAATTTCTAAATGTTAAGTTATGACGTTCAACAGATAACAATCCCCAATAGTCTATTCCTCTGATGGACTCCGTACTACTATGAGAAAATAATGATGTTATTGATTTTTCTTGGTTTTAAATTCAACAAGTACAGATATAGTACTGTGCTTTAATGAGACCCATTTTGGAGTATGGTTCACTAATTTAGGACAGACATGCTGCAAATGGTTCTATTTAGTTTGAAATAGTTTAATGCAAATAAAGTCTATGCATTTTATTTTAGGAATCCAATGCCCCCCTCATGATTACATTCCATTCTAAATGCTTTTTGACCTAGACTAAAAGAATTTTACTAAAAGTTAATTTTTTTGTTTGATAATTACGAAAGTACCAGTTTTGCAAAAATAGAATTTTAATATTTTGTACATGTGAGGGATGATTAGAATTAATGACTGAATCGGAACATTGGTTTCCCGATAGTATATTTTAGAGTCTATATTCATATTTTGAAATATAATACTGTATTACTGTAATACCAGTAGTTTTTGCATTATTACTTGATAAAAGTACTGTAACATTTCGTATTAAATCACAAATATACTATTTAATCTTAAAACTATAAAGAGTCACTTTGAACAAAGCACAGTATTGAAATTTAAGGAAAATATTTCTAATATAATTTCTTGTGGTAGCTACTTTCACTTGGAGGATGGCGCATATTATTATATATAAATTCATCCGTAACAAATGAAAAAATATTAAGATACAGCATTAAGAATTTTAGAAAATTCAAAAACAGTTTGGCAAAAATGATATTGTTAATTATTTTTAAAAGGCATAGCCTATTATCTATCAATAAAAGTACCAATCAAATATTTTATTTTTTAAATCCAATCAAAGTCCTCCATACATATATAATACAAATAATAATAATTTTAGAGTAATGTACTTAAGCTGTTTTGAAAATTTTCTATTATGGCTTTTAGATTTCATCATTAACTGTTTTGTCATCGCTATTTTGGTTTTTCAGTAATGCCAGTGATTCAATTCTTGAATTTTCATTAATAGAGATACTTTAACTACACATCTAAACTTACTCTAAATTAAACAAGATATTTAACTAAATTATAACATTAACAGTTGTACTGTATCATAAAAATTACTTCTTTTTGGAGAGATGTTGTAGTCACTCCAATGAAAGCAGCTATACTAGCTGGTTCATACACTTTGTGTAAACATCTTTGTATGTATGGTACAACATCAGTTGAAAAGCAAATGCAGAGTTGTCCAAATATTTTTTTGTCACCCTATAAATGATGTTTCTATTAAATCTTTTATCAATATAATATTATTTATTATTAAATTTAATATTTAAAAATTCATTATGAATGTAAAGTCAAAATCGCCAAATCTTTAAGAAGACATGATGGCATACATGATTTGAGCGTAAAAAAATAATTTGCTTATAGAAAAAAACTTTGTGTAAAAATAGCACAGTTAAATTCATTATAAATATTTAATATAAATACATTTTATGCAAGTTCATTGAATTGTATTGGTTTGTACAAACACATTTATATAATATAATTTTGTAATAACAGGCCCTTTTTCATATTTCATACTCAAAACTCTGAAAAAGATCTTTTGACTTATAGCAAAAGCGGAGAGTTAATTCAACTACTATAATATGAAAATACTTAGAATAGGCATTTTATTTTTAATTTAATTTACAGTTAATCATCAAAATATAATCAGTAATCCTTACTTCATCATAGCTTTTAAAATCGTCTTGGTAATACATAGAGAATAATGCACAGGACGCATTATGCAATGTAGTATGCAAACATTTGGTGATTTCATCTGCAGCAGCATATGGAGCATACTCTCCTAGGTCATTCAGAGCACTCATTACTCCATTACAAAATTTCGCCAAAGGATAATATTCAAATACGGGTGATGGTATATCATCTACCTAATAAAATTCACATTTAAATATTTATAAGCATATATACAAACAGATGTCTTACTTCATCATGAGTTTGGTTCATTCTAACATTTTTAATATTTGTTTTTAAAAATGTTTGTAAATCGGTTAGCCAAGTAATTTCTGTCATTTTTAATAAGTCTGAAAATCTTTTAACAGTTACATTGATAAACACAGGTGCTATCAGACCTCTGAAATCAGCTCCAATATGTCCCAATGATTGTCCAAAATACATACATTGTGTGAAAATTGTTTCTAATGACGATGGTCGACAGTTTGGAAGGTCTTTTTTAAGTATATTAATAAATTGACATACCTAAAAAATGTATGAATATAATTTTTTAATGAAATAAGTTATAAAATAATATATAAAAAATTGATTATACTGTTTAATAACCTTTTGATTAGTCCAAGAATAATAGAACTGTAATTTTGATGATCCAGAATCAGAGGAGTTATCTTCAGAGCAAAAAATCAGGTTATATTGTGTAGCTATATTTGAAAGACAAGATCGTGATACCTCAATAGTTTCCAATAAGTGTTGGCTATCTATGAACACAAAATATTTTTATCTTTTTTTCAACTTGTAAACCCAATATAATACAGCAACTTACTGCTCTCATCAGGAATATTGTCTAATTTAGCATTAAACCACGCATTTCTAGTCTGTAAAAACTTAACAGCTAACTGTTCTTCATTTATCAGGTTTAATGTTCTTAATAGTCGTACAATACGCATACACAGTGGTAATTCTAAATCGGTTCTCAATTCTTGGCAAAGTGCAGACATCAAAGATAAACGATGCTTTTCCACTTCATCATGTAACAACTAAGATTATATAAAAATTATTAGAATATATTATAACATTATTTATTATGGCACTAACCTTGACAGCTGGTATATTATTGGGTAAATGTTTAGCATGATTTGCGAGTTTTAGTGCATCTTCATACAGTTTATTTTGTATACAAGATAGCATGAGCTGTGGAAGTTCAAGAGCATGATGCATGATACGGGAGTTCCAAGCCATAGCTAAAGTATTACGATGTCGTTTTTCTTTAACATCTGCCCACTGTTGTAACATTTCTTGACATTCAGTTTTAAGTTTCAATAAATAATTATCTAATGTGATAGTTTTCTGTTGTGTGTCATCAAATTTATTATACACAGATTCATAACAATGTGAAGTTTTAACAAATGTTTTGTAGTTATTTAATGCTAAATCTTTAACCATTTTAACAATTATGGTATTTTTATCTTCTAATGACTTATGTTCCTTACCTAAAAAAATAAGTATTATTTATTTTAGTTGTAAATTACAATAAAAATATTTTATAAATACATACTTAATTCTTCTGCAGTGCATTTTCCAAGATGATCTAAATAGTTTTTAATATTTGGATCAGTTTTTACATCATCTATGTAAAATATAAATGTACATTTAATATAAAGTAAAAAATATAATCAATCAATTGCATAAATAATGTGTTAAGTAGGTAAACTATAAATAAGTATAGGTGTTAGGTTGAGCAGTGGGTTTTGTTATCATGAGAATCAATTTTGGTTTTGTTCACTTCCTAAGTATTGAGGCTCTTACAAAAAATATAAAATACTTAGGGCTACTGAATATTAGTCAATAATCAATATACTAACTTCAAGGCTCTGAGAATGTTACATAATGATAACACCCCAAAGATTTTAACTCAAGTTAAGCCACTGATATGCACAATCCCAATGCACTGTATCAATAAATATAATACTGTTTAATAGGTAGCTGAAGATAAAAGTTATTATTTACTAAGAAAATTGAAATTTGGTATGGTAAAGAATGTAAATAACCGATTATGGTATTATCTAGAAAATTACTTAACATGTTAATAACATGGAACATTAAAGAATATAGCAATCTAACCTCGACTAGGTATGTATTCTCAGATTTTAATTGCGGAATAATAACAAGTAAACTCATATCTTATAATACTTATACCTACCTACCCATCATTCCATTAGATCAATAACCCTAATTACCTGGTATTCCGTCTGGGAACAGTAAATCTATCAATTGGCCGTCCATAATGCGAGCGTCTTCGATCTATAACTGCTTCAAAAAAAATAATCCTTTAATGTTACTAATAATAATAACAATAATTGTTACTAGTGAACATTCAGTTAGAACATCACATGATAAACTTAATATAGTTACACACAAACAAAATATTATAACATATTATTTTTTATTATTTATTATTAATGATGATGATGTCTGCAGTAGTTGCAGTCCACGAATTACGATGATATTATTTTGATAGTTGATACTATCGTCGACCAGCGCATCAACAACGAACGTGTTATCACACGTCGCGTAGTTGTCCGTTATCGTTCGGTAACCAACTGCATTCACCAATCACCAATCGCCGGACCACGACCGCGTGCGTGCTAAACCGGCGGCAGATACCGCGCGCGCGGGCTACCAGAGATTTGAGCACGTTCAGTTTTCGTCTGAACGCGTCGCGTGCCAGTGTGCCCTTCCGGTAAAGACGGTTTCGGTGTTTTCCTTTTTACCTAGCCAACGAATTAAGTTCTATTTTCTCTTAAAATGAAACTTACAACGTAATCTATTTTGTAACATGTGCAACGGATAGAAGTTTTCCGACAGCCGCGATTTAGTTTATATTTTTTCGCCTACGAGCTTATCTCAATATTTTTTGTATCGATTTAACCGGGGGTTTCTCACATTTTTCGCTCACGATGGCTGCATGGACAAACTCAAATCGGAGTTTCCAAATTTTCGCAGTGACAGGTAAGATTTTTCAAGTTTATTTTATAATTATGTAAAACGTAGTAGACCGTTATAAATAATAATACCTAGTTATATTATGCACTTATATTTGGCCATAGGTATACTTCGCATGTACAGACACGTCTTATATATACCTAATTACATTTTAACTTTAACTTTTACAATTTAGTTGATACCTTATGTGGGCAACTTTCTTCCTTGACAATACCTAGGGTTTTTATTCTTTTATCATCCATACAGTTTTACACTAATTTTAGACTTCCACACCAGATAGTCATAAATAATAATTTGAAATTTTCTGAACAACTTTTTACCTATTTATTATTAAGTTGAAAACTTAAGTAAATATTACATATTTGGATATATCTACTATATATTGTGTATTATTATGTACTAACTTGGCAGCTTCTCGCATTATACGGAAAATATTTTTAAAACATAATTTGAAAGTTATTTAATATATTTAAAACGTTTGAAACATTTATATTGACTATGAAAATAATAGGGTGTAAAATACATTTGGGGAGTGAAGAGGTTAAATAGTCTTAAAATTAAACTTCAGTAGATTAGGTTTAAACTAACTTAACTGTCTTAACTTAAATCTACACTTAGTTTAAAAATATTTATTTACCTACATTGACTATTTATTTAAGTACCTGAGAGTTAATGGTACATAATATGTACCATTATTATTATTATATAGGTACAGGAAATATCTAGTTTTTCGTAAACCGAGTTATAGCAACATTATATTGTACTCGAAAAAATAATAATATTATGTATAATAATATCTTTGAATTGTTTAAAAAATATAGATATTTTAACACAATATACAAATGGTATAACACACCACAATTTACTGCTCTTGATAAGTGTGTACGCAATAATGCAGTATCTATTGCAGTATGATTAGTGATTACATTATAGGTACACATTACGTCCTAAAAGTGCCCAGCATCTAAAGTCTCAGTTACAAATCAATACATTATATTTTTATTAAACAGTTAGAATTAAGCATATTAATGTACCATGGTTTCCCAAAGATATTTAGAGACCTTAGGGTTTATGTTGTGTTATAATTATTTTTATAATGTTTATATGCATCATCCCCTGAATATTTAACATTTCATACCATATTATAAGGTATTAAGTACCTATTTTTTGTATTTTTAATGACAAGTATATATTAATCTAATTCTCCCTCCCTTATTACAGGACTTTTAACTACTTTTGCAGAAGACTATACTTGCAAAATTTGAATTTTGAATGCCATACTTGCATTATGTTCTTATACTTGTGTACATGCCCCTAGGCACCTACCTTATTTCATCCATTCCATTGTTCTTTATTAAATAAGGTACAGTCACTTTTCGTCTGTTGCAAAAGTAACCGTAGTACCTACACATATTGTATGAAAAATACAACGGATAGTTCCAGTAAAAATAGTCAAATCGTTTCAAACGACGCGTTGTTGCTGAAGTGTCCGAATAAAATCAAAAAAAATATGTCATACTTATTCAGTACGGCTCGGCGTGAGTTGTGGAAAGCGGCAGGTATCCTAACTCTTGAGTGTTTGAAGGAACGATAACACGTCATTCGGTTCACTTTTGGCAACGGCGCATCGTCTTCCTGATTTTTTTGTTTCTACAATATTGTTTATATTATTTATTATTTTATTGTTACCGGTTATAATTATATAATGTTCATTCACATACGAAACTCATGCAGCGGGTTCTAAGTTCCGTCTTAGTAGGTACTGAGTTTTCGACCGGTAAAATGGTTCAGCCCGTACAGTCCAATATTATCTACAACATCGTTATTGTAAAATCGAAATGAATCTAATCAATTTCATGATAATATACTATGTGGGTTCCTTAACCTACTATTTTCTATATGGTTCGAAAAATAGGTAAAAGTCACCTAGATATAGATAATTATTAGTTCGTCATGGACATACTGCCATACTGGTATAAATACAATAGACCTCTGGTATTATTCAGCTATTCTATATTTCATCTATTAACTTCTAGAGCCCTTTGGTTAGGGTGTAGTTCGTTTCATTGGGGTGACCCCTGATTGAAAAAACAACTACAATAATAATTATAGAATGTAGGCACCTATAATTTTGAGTCTAGTTAACTGTAGTGTGTAATCTGTGGATGCAACTCGGTTAGGTGATGTTTGTGAACTGGGCATATCTGACCTAGGTGGTTCAATGGATGATCAATTTATGGGTTGGATAAAAAGCTCGTTGCATGTCCAGTAATTATGTGTACACAAATAAGTATGTAAAGAATAAATGCGTTTGTACTTTGTATCAAATATTAATGCTACAATGCTGCAATCAAGTTAATTTACTTACGTGTATTATTTCATTGAAGTGGTAATGAAAAAACATGTGAACAATTATTTTTGTTGATTTAAAAATAGATAATGCGAAAATACGTAGTTATCCGTGATGTGTTTTCTAAATTGGGGATATAAACTAATTATTTATTTTCTATATTTTTAAATTTGTTTGAGTTTATTACTGTTTAATATAAAACATATTATAGTATATAGTAGATAAATCTAATAAATAATAACTCAATTATACTAGATTATTTTACTTATCATTGATATATTCATGAGCTTAATTGAATAATAAATTCAAAATTTTCTTAGTGAATATTTTTATTACAATATACCGTTTTAGATTCCGATCATAGCAAGAAATTTATTGGTTTTGCAATAATACTTTTTTTGGTCAGTAAAAAAGTTTTTAAAGTTTTATGCAACTATATTATGGATTCGAAATCAAGACTATGTGGTACTTCAAAGAGGTCAATTTTCGATTTTCTTCAGTAGTTTTTATTTTATTTATTATTTCGATGTTCTATTCTCACAATTAAGTATCATACTCTAGATAAAGTCTCCTTGCTCTATAATTCTCTTTTGACTTAACGTGCCAAATAGTAGCTCAGTAACTGATCTTATTTGATTCAATTATATGTCTATTATTAAAACTAAAATTAATTTTCATAAAATTATGGGTAAGTATTTCTTAATTGAACTTTATTTCTAAATATTTGTATACTAATGATCTTTAATAATAATCAAAAAAATATGAATACTATCTATACCTGTATATTAAATATCAATAAATTATAATTAACATTTGTAACTTATAATAACTGGTGAATAACATACACATATTACTATTCGTTAATCATTATAATACTTATTCATTGTAATGATTTGGTACTTTTCATTGTTAGATTAATATATCTACTGTAGTATTAACTAATAGTTATTAGAAATCTTAGAATGTAAATTGAATAATTATTGTTGTACATTTTGATAGAAAGTATAAGACAATTATATGTAAATTAATTACCATTAAAGAAAATAATTTGTAATTGCTCGATTTTTTTCATGAATTTATGCAACTAGTAAAAATAATTACCCACGAGAACAAATAATATCATACCAAATAGTTAATGTTTATATTATTCATATAATAAAGAGGTTTATATAATAATAGGCATCTTATACTTTTAGTTTAAGGTTATATAAAAAAAAAAAAATGTATTTAATGATCTAAAGAAAAATATTAGGAGAATATTGTTGTTATCTTAAATTAGTTTTTAGTAATATTTAAAAATAAAAATTTGTAAGAAATAATGAATGATACACTATAGTTTATGAGGTGGTTGAAATGGTCGGATTTTAAAAAATAAAGGAACTATTACAGATCACAGAAAATTGAAAATTTCTGAAATAAGTTTTACTCATGGTATTTCAGTAAATTTACAGAACTTTATTGAAACATGCGTAATAAAGTACTTTAAGAGTTGTATTCAACTTTTACGTAATAATATAAACTCGTGTTTATAATAATATGTGTGGATTGTATAGAAGTTGAATTATTTTCATCGTTTTACTAAGTTAATATACAGTTTTGATGAACACCAAAAGTCCGAAGTGTAAAGTTTATAACATAAGTTTTAAAATGAATAAGCATGACTTAAACTCATATTATATATCAAAAGTAGCCATATCAAGCTGAATAATTTAATGTTAGTTTCAAATCAATTTGAATTTATGTTTTTACATATTATCTTATAAAACCTTTTTTTTCCATACCGATGTATCTTTTCTTTTAAAAAATTAAGAACTATTGCACGGGTGTCTTTTTGAAAACCTATAGCTTAGAAGTTAAGACACATCCTGGTACGATGGATTACTTTTAAAACCTAAAATACTTTTTCGAGACTCTTTTATCTTCTTTTTCTAATTTTATTCTACCTGTAAATCTGTGCATCTGAAGTTAGCCCCGAATTCTCTAACTTTCTTGACTTATTAACTGAGATTCCCTTGGGAAGTGACATTGCTCATTTTCTACATTAAAGACATTCCAGTTATATAAGCCACTCATATCATAACGTATGCTGATGACATAGTTATATATTGTTGGTGCAAATGAAAATCCAGCAATTATATAGCTAGCCAATTAATGCAAACTCACATCAATCTTCTTTTGGGGACT